AGGGTGCCTGGGATCTCTTTGGGGGCTGGGGAAGGTGATGGGGGTTCCTTTGGGGGGAATGGGCAATGGGGTGCCACCTGAGGGTGGGGTCCCCAGAGGTGGGGGGTGAAGGGCGGATCTGCGGGGGGGTGTGGGGAGCAGGTTCTTGGGAGGGTCTCCTCTCGTGCTCACCCCACACCCGTGCCCCAGGATCCTGCGGTCCATGCTGCAGCACGTGAAGCACCTGTACGGCATCCGCATGGATGTTCGGGGCCTGGAGCACTTCGACCTCAAGGAGCCCTATGTTGTCGTCTCCAACCACCAGAGCTCCCTCGACCTGCTCGGTACGCTCGGGGCGGGGGTGCAGCTGGGGCAAGAGCAGGGCGAGCAGGATAGGAGGGGCAGGAACGAGGCTTGGGGAGCATCCATCAGGGGACCCTGGGTTGTGGGGCATTGGCTCCCTCGGGTGGGGCCTCCCAACAGCGGACAGGTCTAGCCTCCTTGGGGTGTGGCCAACTATTTGTGGGTGGAGCCAGTCCTTATGGGGGCAGGGCCATCTTGGGGAGGTGGGGCTTCCTGGCAGTGGGTGGTGCTGCGTCCTATGGAGTGAAGCCAACTCCCTTGGGATGGGGGCCTCTCAGCAATGGGTGGTTCCAGCCCCTATGGGGCAGGGCCTTGTAGCATTGGGTGGGACCAGCCTTGCCCGGGGCAGGGTCCTGTGCGGGGGGCAGCATTAACCCCAGGTGTTCTGGCGCAGGCATGATGGAGGTCCTGCCAGACCGGTGCGTGCCCATCGCCAAGCGTGAGCTTCTCTACATGGGTACCGTGGGGCTGGCCTGCTGGCTGGGCGGCATCATCTTCATCAACCGCCAGAAGACGGACGATGCCATCTCTGTCATGGCTGAGGCTGCCCGCACCATGCTACGCGAGGACGTGAGCCCCCCAGGGGGGCAAGGCGTGGGGGCCGGAAGGGAGTCCTGGGTGGGGTCCTGGGGGTGGGACATGGGGAGCTGGAGGGGTGTGGGGT